TTGAAATATATTTTTCAATCTTATTAATCCACTCATTTGAATCATTTACAACTTGCATTTTGAACCTTTTTTTATTGTTTATAAAAATAAAGAAATGAAAAAAAAAATCTTGCAGAAAAGCAAAAAAAAAAAAAATGCATTTTGTAAATCATGTAACGGTAAATAAACTAAGCCACCGTTTATTAATATGTATTGGTGATGTAAAACAATATACAACTCGTTGACTCGTGATTTATGAATTATTATTATTTTCCAAAATTTTGGGAATACAATATTATTAAATTGTTAATAATTTTACGTAACGTCAATCGAAAAACCAACAGTTATTAAAATGACTTGAAAACAACTTTATTTATTGATCAATTCTAAGTACGATCATACATTTTTGAAAACTAATCCCTGTTGACGATCACTTGACAATGTAAGGAGTACCGGTTATCCTTCATTGCTAATCAATCGTTCTCATTTGAAATTCAAAATTTCGAACTTTCAAGACACATGACATGATACATAGTAAATTTCAAAAATGTGATCCGATTATAAATTCGGAAATTTAAAAGGATTAACTTAACAATATTTTTTCTTTTAAATGACACTTATTTCATTATACTACGAATTCAAGAAATCAAATACATTCACAAATAAACCTTACAATTTTGCAAAAGAAATAAAAATCATAAATCGGAATTTTATTTTTGTATTCATTTTATTGGCTAAGCTTTCCTTGATAAATGCATTTCCACATCAACTTCAAAAGAAAACTACTTCCTTTGTTCGATGCCCTCCACCTAAAGGGTCCAATACATCACCACACTTGCTCCCTGTAATCCCCGGAAAACCCGATACTTTAACTGTTTTCGGAACTTTAGATTCAGATATCACAGTAACTTCACATCACATCCCAACTTATTGTTTTTTATGGCAATCCTAAAACTCAACAAGTCATAGGCGATGTCAAGGCCGGTTTGTAAAGATGCTGGATGTCCAATTCAAGCCAAATCCTCATTCTCTACAAACGTGGATATTCCAACACCAATAAGCTTAACAACATTCTAGTTGGTATTTTAGAACCACCTCAAACGTTCTAGGCTGCGCAATTGCCTTAGTTGGTGGCATACCTCATAAGGGAGCTGCGTATGCTGCGCTTCCTTTTCCTCTATAAATTTTATTTAATTATTTTTTTATTTTTTATTTTTATACTTTATCACAATCATTTGTGTTGAAACAAAAATAGTAATTTAATTATTTATTGATAGAATTTATTTACCATATTAAATTCATTTGATATATATTAACTAGCACTTAGTACTGAATTAAACGTCTGTCTTTATTATAGTCAATTTACAATTAATAAAGTTACAAAATGATTAACGAATATCTTTCCGTACGTAAACTTTATTATATGTCGTCACCCACAGCGCTAAGTTTTTTTTTGACCGATCGGCAATTTTGATCGTCAGGCGTAACAATTTTCTTTTTTCTTAATCTCATAAAGTAATTTGTGTTACATTAAAAACGAATATTCTCATTAATTCTGATAATAAACTTATATAATTCTCATTAACACTTTTATATACTTGTTTTGGTGCTTATTGAGTGAGTTTAAATATAGCGATAGTTTGTAACAAATGCGATATTAATAAATATGAATTATGTCTTTGGGTTCGATAATTATAATTGCGTTGATAATTTAGTGCAAAAAAATTATCACTTTTGTAATTGTAAATCAAATTTATCCAATTATGAACGATATTACTATTATTTATAAAAGAAAAAATTAAATAATTAATAAATTCTCAACGTGAGGACTCTAAATTCTAAATATTTATCTTTTAAGATACTGTATCATCATTGTAAAGTTTAACGAATTATAAATAATCTCATTTGGTCCGTAAGTGCGACATAGTTTTTATCCTAGAATAAATATATATCATATCCAGGATTAAACGAGGTTTTTTATAAAACAATTCTTTATAAGATGTCTCCATAATATAAAATTTATGCATGATTTAAGAAGTAAATCCACCGATCTATTTGTTAAAATCAACCAAACCATTTGATTTACAAGTCAATTATACAGTTGAATTTCAAAATGAATCTCAAAATGTAATCAGCAAGATTACCCGAAATTTTAAATGGTCGTCGATGATAAATCTTGTCGACCGTACGGTGATTTTAATAGCCGATCACCTAGTATTAATTGATTTGGAATAGAAAGTTATTTTACTTATAAATGGCACTGATTTTAATGTATTCAGAATTTGAGAAAATGTTTACATAAGAATACTTCCAATTAGATACTTTTTCAAAGAAACAAACTTTAAACAGTTCTATTTATATTTAAAGTTTAAAATTTTTTAATATATTTTGTTATAAATGTTAACATTCAACAATTATTTGATTATTGAATTATAAGAGGGTGATCAAAATTATATTCATTCAGTTTGAAAAGTGGCTGGATAAATAATATATTAAATTTTAAAAGAATAATATTTATATTAACTTTGAAATATTACAAAAAAAATTAAAAAATTAACAGTTTATTCTATTTTCATTTGCGGTAATAATCACCTTAATCTCCTTGATCAATTTATATAATATTCTGATGGTATGTCCTTTCATGATTTTTAACATAGTTTTCTTTAATAAGATGGTGGTGGAATATGATAACGTATTCTTAAACCCGTGAAGGTCTATCTGGATATTTGTCAGATACAAGATATCCAGATTTTTACAGATGTTAAAGATATCTGAACAATATGGAAAAGATTCACATATCTTTAAAGGCTTATCTCTATCTCTTTGTTCACAAATTGGATAATAATGGATAGTTTATACAGGATCTAACCACTTATTTAGAACTTATTTTATCATAATTTTAGATAAATAAAATGTTTATTATGTCATATTAGCATGTAACGCTCTGCATAATTTTGGCCTAAACAAATTGGCCGGATAATTTTGATCGCCTTCTGTAGTTATGTGCAATTAAGCTTAAAGAATATTATATTTTAGGTTATCTACCATATGCTTCCGAAATTAAGCACCCCGAAATTAAACGTCCCCCAAATTTATAAATATACTAAAAATAAGCACCCTCACTTGAAAAAATGAAAATGAAAATTAATTTTAATTTTTAAAGTATTATCATATAATATTTACAGTATAATAAAGAAAAATGCAATTTTATTTATTCATTTATATCATTACTATCATTACTAATATTCATCATCTTCTAAATTATCATCACTAACATCATCACTCTCAATTTCTTTATCAGAATCTCCTATATTATGCCAAGAATTCGAACAAAGCAATAGGATTTTGATTATCATTATTCTTTATTAGTAAATTACAATAATTGTGATAATTCCGATCGTCGCCAACTCTCTCTCCAATTATGGAGGATTTGATACATTTCTGCATCATCGATACTTTCCGTTGGAACTTTAGTCTTTAGTATTTTGATCAAAATTGATCCGCAGATTTTTGAGCTTTTGTAAGAGCGGATAGAACCTATTTCGATAGTATCCTAGTTAAAAGTTTGCACTGCAGTTTTTATGACCTCAAGGATATCTATTGAACCATTAGCTCGCAAGGGTATTTCTTTGACAAGGACAGAGCAAATTATATTTGGATTTGTTGTAGGAACTTGAGAGAAAGTGCTTGATGAATCTGTATCACTTCTCTATTTTTTTCAGTAGCTGATGTCGATTCCTCTGGCGAGAATTCCATAAGTTATTATTGGCTTTGGCCTAGATAAAAAAACTGAATGAGAAAATACTTCATAAAAGAATAGGCAGGATTGAGAAATATACAAACTAAATTAGTTAATTTTTTTATGCTTACCTTATTGTTAAATAGTTCTTCGGCAACGTCACGGATTTCTTGTGGCTTATTTTGTTTAGTCGTAATAATCAAAAAATAAAAATCATAACGATTAATTGACCATCTCTCATATGGAACCAATTCAAAGCATTTCTCGTATTGAACAGTCACTACTGGTAGCAGAGGTGAAGTAGACATGATATAAAATTTAAAAGCTGGTGTATGAAAAAAAATTTGGATTGTTAAAATTTATGAAATAGGCGTGTGTTTACATTTTTGATTGAATAGGTAGTAATTGAGAATTTTTATGTATCGCTCGCTTAAAAGGTTGATGAAGTGGTAGTTTGTGCTGACATAAAGTTTATAAAGAGCTTGACCAAAGTTGCTGAATAGGAGAATTTTGACCGCGTAAAAAGTTAATGCTTGAACAAAAAAATAAATTTGTAGAAATCAAACTTAAAATTCAAAGACGCGTCGATTCATGTTATACTTTAATAATCACGAATCACATAATCCGCGTGATTTAATTACCTCATTTTTTCATTCATTATTTCCTCTACTTCATTTATTTTTTCCATTTGTCGTTAGTATTATATAACAAGATTACTTATTATGTTTCACTTAATAAGCCGCCCACATATTTATTTATTATTAACTCTACATACAGTGACAGGTTTTAGCGCCAGGTTTAGCAAGCAAAAATGGTATTTAGCATTTTTCTTGTAAATGAAAATTGCCCGAGAATTCTTTTTAACAAAATGTGTTAAAAATCAAATCCTAAACTTATGGTAAGAAC